TCCGCCTAGCGGGGGGAAGTAGGCAATGATGTTGATGTGCCGGTGTGCTGCAGCACAAACTGGGCGTAGTCGTGATACACGGTCCTGAAGGGGAGATCGTAGTTGGGCGTCAGGTGAGGTGGCAGGCTTTTGTAGGGAATCAGGGCGAGAAGGGCATAAATCTTATCGGCCGGCAGAGAGGCCTCGAGCGAGCCGAACGCGATGAAGAGATCGAGCAACTCTGTCGCGACGATTCTCTCGGCCGATTCGACGGTATCTGCCGTTGCTGCCGCCTTGGCCGCCGCCAAACGAAGCTGGCGCTGCTGTCGCGCCCACCAGACACGCCCATACATCTGCCACCGCAGGTACACGTCCTCCCAGACCCAGTGGAACGGACTCTCCTCAATGTCCAGTAGGAACCAGAGTGCCACCAAGCCGCCCATGCCAAACACATGACGGCCAAAGAGCACCTGGGGTTGCGCGTGGGCGAGCACGGCTTCCTGTATCACCCAGGTCCGGTCGAACCAGTTGTGATAGTACAGGTGGTCCCTGACGAGGCGGCGATTGGCCTTCATAATGTGTTCCGACGGCTTGGCAGCAACAGTGTCAGCCGTCATGGCCTCGACGTGGGCGACGCTCCGCAGGTACGGCACCAGCTCAGCAAAGACGTCGTCGTTGTGCCTGTCGCCCTTTTCTGGCGGATCCTCTTCGTCAGGGTCGGCCATGGGGCCAAGCCAGATGATGACTTCGGCTGCATTTCCGTAGATTCGACCCATCTTCGGCACCTCTCTTGACTTGTCGTCGTTGTCTCCCTGGTTGATACACACGGCATCGGCCCAGAGGGGCAGCTCCTCCAGGGTCTTGTGGTCGTACATGGATTCCCGCAATTGGCGCAGAGCCTCGATCAGGTTCAACGTGAACCTGCACGACTTGCCGTTGACGACGGCAAGGCCTGTCTCATCAGGGTCGCCCCATACATAGGAGAGGGCGCGGTAGCGGACATGTTCGTCAAAAGCGACGGTGCGCAATTCGCACACAATCTTGTCTGTACGCTTCACGCTCGGCTTGATGGTGAGTAGGCGAATAGAGGAATCAGACAGCGGTTCGTAGGAGGCTTCCAAGGAGTGTCTGCTCTCGAGGTGCAAGAAACGGCGCATGCGCTGGGAGAGATCGGCAACGTCCATGGTACTGTGTAATGTGGCCAGTGGCAAGCTGGATGTTGGGTATACTGTCGATGCCAAATCTCAATCTAATACGCCGTGTCCGGGTCGTCACGTTGGGCACACTCGAGGTTTTATCTGCATCTAGTGCTGAAGAGGCGTGGCATGCCATTTGTGCCCCCCCCCCTCTCCTTCCACGCTAGGCGGGACGAGGCCCATCGCCGTGCATCCATTAAAAGAAGTGGAAGTACAGCACGCAATGTGCTGTGCAGGTCCAGCGCATCTGCAGTGCAGCCCCGTCGCCGACGGTCTCGTTTCGCGACGTTGGAGGCCTGGGTAAGGCTGCAGTGGCGGCCACACCGTCAGAGGATGATGCGTCGCTGTAGCCAAATTTCTCTATACTGGCCACACGAACTGACAATGTCCCGGGGCTGAGCTGACCGCAGGCGGTTCGAAGGATCGAGGCGCCTGGTGGCAGTGGACTGGACTGCAGCTGCTGCATCGACAGGGGGGGGGAATGGTTGTTGAAGGCCGAAGGGCGGAAACTCGGATGCGAAGACGGATCAAAGCCCCAGAAAGGGAGAAAGGAGGAGGGGTGGATGACATAAGCCGAAGCCTGGATGCCTCCTGCCTTCTCTGCCGCTGGACCCATTATTCGCCGGCGGAAAGCTGCGACACTCTGACGACATCGTTCATCGGCAGGCAGGAGCAGCAGACCTGTAAGTGGCAGGAGTGAGGAATGAGGCACAACGCAGCTCACCAAAACACGACGTACCTTACTAAAGGTACCAGGTAGGTCACGATAAAGTATCAATTGGATGCAGGAAAGTCGTCGATGCAAGCATATCCCATCGTACCGATGCAAATGCCCTTTGGGGGGCATACACGCCACGCACGTTGTCCTTCCATAAACTCCGTTCTAGCCGTTAATTACACGTCGTTCCCGCTTCCGTATTCATCCATTACGGCAGGAGAGTCCTCTGCACTGCTTGTCCTCCCAGCAGTCAGGTCTCACAGGCCGTCGCGCATGCTCGTGCCGGCCTTGCGCGTCTCCTCGGCCGCCTTCTTCGTCTTCTCCTGCAGCTGCTCGGGCGTCAGGTCCGCGTTGCGGTCCGCGTTGATGGCCTCCTCGCTGTCCGACGCCAGCTCGGGCTTCCAGTGACCCTTGCCCTCCTTCTGCTTCCGGAGCGAGTCATCCTGGTGCTTCTTGTAGTCGGCGTCTTCTGGAGCGAGCGTCAGTACAGACTTGGCTTTTTGCCCCCTCGGCGAAGGGAATCACGTACGGCCTGCGGACTCCTTGAGGCCGGCCCGCGCCGTCGTCGAGAGCTGGAGCTGCGGCCGGCGGCAATCTTCTGGGCGTGACGCGCGCGGGCGAGCAGAGAGAGCGATGCGGGAAATCATCTTGACAGTTGTTCTG